AAGCTTTTTCTTAATGTTTATTTTTAAGAGAGAGACGGACACAGTGTGAGCGGGGGAGGGGCGGAGAGAGAGGGAGACAGAATCTGAAGCCGGCTCCAGGCGGAGAGCTGTCAACACAGAGCCCAAAGTAGGGCTCGAACTCACAAACTCATGACCACGATCTGAGCCAAAGTCCGACACTTGACCAACCGAGCCACCCAGGCGCCCCCAAAGCCTTAAAAAAAAAAAAAAAAAAAAAAAAAAAGGAAAAGAAACTAATGAAAATGCTTAACTCTGAATGATTTGGTTTATTTTCAAAATCCTTTTTATTTTAGGGAGGAAGAACATTCTATAAAAACTTCCCCACATACAAAAATGGCTCCTGACATCTTACTAATGAGATAAAAATAAATTATGAAAACTGCCATACTATAAAAAATAACCATGATTTGCTAAAACAGGCAGAATATCAAGATAGGTATTCCGTGGTTTACTATTTATTGGAATTTAGAGAACTAATACAAAATTAAAATAAAATATTGAGGGGCAGCTGGGTGGTTCAGTCAGTTAGGCATCCGACTTGATTTCAGCTCAGTCATGATATCTCAAGGTTCATGAGATCCAGCTCTGCATCAGGCTCTGCACTACAGCATGGAGCCTGCTTGGGATTCATATTCATTCTCTCTCTCCCCCTCTCCCCCTCCCAAAACAAATAAAATAAAATAAAATATTGAAAATTATATTAAGTTCTTTACACCTCAAACCCATACCCCCTTCTCCATGGCAGTAAGACTGCCACTTCCTTAGGGTAAAAGTGTGACAAGGGTGACAAGGTGCCTAGAGAAGAACATAACTGGATATATGTTATTTGAAAATTTAGTCTATATATGCATTTGAAAATGCAAAGGAAAAGACACCGTAGATAAAATAAAAGTACATGATGACATCGTAAATCTGTCAGTGACAATGAATGCTTACTTTGGTATGTACGTGACCCTAAACAAAATGATCAATTAAGATGTTTATGTTCAATCTTGGCTTCAAGTCCACACCTTCTCTCCCATATTCCCAAACATACCGTAAGCAAAGGGCCTAGAACACATTCACAAAGAAGATAGAAATCTCCCATAAATGCCAAAAATAGCAGTCCCAAGAATATTTGCCTTTTTCAATGCTTTAGGCTACAGCTTTAACCAGAATTTCATGGATCAGCCTCTAGATGAAACAGTACTCCCCCTAAAAATGATATTTCATAGGTTAAGCCACATTCTGGAAACATTATTAAGTGATAACCTGTCCAAGCTGAGTTTTACAATTTTCTATTTGAAAAGCAAATCAAGCTTTTGGTTTTTAAAAGCCACAGATTTCTTGATTGGTGACAAAAGCAGTCAAGCAGGTAATGATTTTCAATCGTGTTGCAAACAGAGCAGAGTACAGGCTTGGAGACTGGGAAAGCTAGAGGAGTCAGTAGAATGAGGCCTAGAGGAATGAGGGAGACCATAAGGAAAACTGAGCCTGTAGGAACTAGCAGTTCTTCTCATGACATGACCTTTGAGGATCAGTTATTAAATGACTCATTACCTTCTAGACAATTTAAAAATGGATAAAAATACACAAAATGTCTTTACTGCCATAACTACTTCGATGCATTCTTCTAAATTAAGAACCTAGAGAGAGAAAGCCTTGACATGGGCAAACTTTAGGGCACTGCCCCCCTCTCCAAAACTAAAAGCCATTTAAAACATGAAAGAAGAACAGTAAGGACAGAATAATACATGTTGGAGAACATATTTGTGGTTCTAAATATATATTCCCAGATAGGTATAGCTTACAGGTATCTCGATTACAAGACAAAAATACCTTACTGTCTTCAGAAAGAGTCCATAAAAAGAACCAAGAAAATGAAGAAGGAAAAGCAATTCCCTTTTTGTCAGTTCCATCTGGGGGGTTGAGGTGGGGTGAACAGTGAAGCAAACGGAGTCTCTCTTCAAAAGAAACTTTTCTCTGTTAAGGAACCATAGTTACTGGTTTGCTCTGGTTGTTCCTCTCAATTTCTTATCTTTTTCTAACTGTATACTCTATAACATGAGAACCCCAGCCTTTGCTTCCGTCCTTTTTAGATATTACTAAATATCTTAGGAAGGTATTTACTAAATAACTTAGGAAGGCTAAGCTGTAAGTGGCTTAGTGGCATAGCAAGAAAAACTCAAAACAGTCCAAAGATATTGTTCTGCTTCTAGTCCCATTCTGCAGTTAAGTGATTTCACATGTATATCTGGAGTCACAGAGTTAAGTTGGAATCTTAGCTCCATCATATATTTACCAGATTATATAAATTTAGAAAAATTTCTTAACTTCTTCTGTGTGCTTCATCTTACTTCCTCAACAAAAAATGTGGACAGTAATAGCTCCTCTTTCAAGATTAATGTGAGAACTAAATGAGCTATTTAACAAAATATTTATTAGCACAATATCTGATCTTAGTAAATTATCAATAAATATTAACTACCCATTATAACCTGTTTAAATCCAAGATACCCTTCCTGGCCTAGCACAGTTGTTTTTCCAGTGAGATTACAGAGTTGTGGCCAGCACATTAAAGAAAAATTTACTAGAACAGAACAGAAAATAGCAGAGTGCAGTAACAGAAAGTACTGTTTCAAAAATCTTTTTGTCAGATACACACACACACACACACACACACACACACACTCCCCTCTTTCCCCCCACCCCCTCTCTCTCAACTGAGCCTCCTGCAGTTTTTCTGTGTTCCCTTCCCTATATACCCTTAATAGCTAACACATCTGACTCTTGCTCAAGGGCACAACAGCATGTTGTATAAAACTCTACAACACTTCTCACACTGTGCTTGTTTATATGTATGTCTCTCCCATTAGAATATAAATTTCATGGAAACTACCTTATATTGCCTGTGTATTTCTGATACCTGAAAAATACTGAAGGCTCAGTAAATTTTTGTTGAAGGAATGAGTAAATCATCAAAACCTAATAGGTATTAAGAACATACAAAATTATTTAAGCAGTTTGTCATTACCTGATCAGGTTTTATTACTGTACAGAAATATAAATTTGGCTACAAGTTGCATAAAATCAATAAAGTTGTTCTTTCTCCCAAAGTGCCTATTACACTCCCTTCCATCTGGAAGTGATGAATACATGTTTACTTAAGAAACTGAAATGGATGTTGTGCATAATGATCTCTGAAAAGTAGAACTTTAAAGTATATACATGTGCTGCACAGTTGGAAGTTTTATTTAAGGAGACCGGCCACATTCATGCTTCTTTGTTAGGGGCAAAAAGAAAGGGCAGTTATCAGGCAGAAGAAGTTGCTTCTTTTATATGACAAACTGTCCAGGATGCCCTTTCATAGGTACTACAGGTACCTTGAGAAAACATCAAAATAATAACACTGGGCAGATACTTGCTTAATTACTTAATATAGAAAAATATGAAGAACATTAGTATTTTCAATATTCATATATCACCATCATTCCCAAATCTGTTTAAATGTTAAGAATCAAAGTGATACCAATTCACCAACTCTGCTTTTGTTCCATCACAAAAAGGCAAAACACTAGAAATAAATTCTAAAGAAACACTTTTCACCATGCTAATAGACATCAAAGTCAAAAGCTAACAGTCTACTAAGTCAAGGTCATATATAAAACTTGGTTTTACATTTGTCAAAAAATAAAATAAAATAAAATAATAAAATAAAATAAAATAAAATAAAATAAAATAAAATAAAATAAAA